GGAAGTTAAGGCCAAAACAAATTGCTAACTCATTTTGCGCGCTGATAAAATTCATCCTGAGCATGGCTCTGTGTTTGCTAGGTAACAGACTCCACAATTATCCAATGGGGCTGCATTTCGGATATGTTATAGTATACACCCATTGGAACAACTTTCATGAAGAATGTGGCCTCATCCGAGCTATGTAGGTTGCTGAAACAAAGCTTGCAATATGACCTACGAAACTGGGCTGGCAGGGGACTGTAGCCAAAATTGAGTTTGTCTTTAAGCTCTTCATCCATTCATCCAAATTAGGCCCTAACATGCATGGATTGCATCATTTACTATCCAAAGCCATCATTATTACCTAAAGCTCAATGAACTGAAAGATAAACACAAAAAGGATTAAAAGCACAAGTTTAACTCAAAAACATAACCAAATCATAAGCTAGAAGGGTACAAAACGATATACAATTATGAACCGATCAATATGCATTGCTTAAGTATTTGCCCATAGAAGAACACTTAAACAAATCCTGATTACACTAGGATAGAATGTTTTAATCCATGTAGGATTAGGAATCTTCAAAGCTCTAGTTTTCTAATTAAACTGCACTTTAAACTAGAACTGCAGATATTCTCGAGTTCTGTTTCTTGATTAATACTAAACTGCAACTACTTATGTGATTAGAAGACCATTCTAATATGGTTTATTACAATGTAATGTCTTACAGTTTTACCATAGGTTTCCATTCTCTAGACTTGCCTATGAATCTAAATAATCTCTGCATGCATATTTCCACAAAAATCAGCAACTTCAATTTTAATTCCTCCACCATTCAAACCCAATGCACGAACCAACTGCTCTTCCAATCCACCTCGATCACCATCACCACGGTTGCATTTCAGAATCTCCATATAGGAATATGTGAATTTCTGTCTTTGGAGGGCTTGCACCGCTCTCGACATATCTTCCATTATACGTTGCATCTCAGTCATCTATCTGTGTTGGGCTTAGTTCCCTTGTCCACAACCTCTACCATGACCAATCATGGTGTGGAGGAAGGATTTTCCTAGCCTCTGGTACCAATTTGATGCAGGGTAGGGTCTATAAGTTGTTGTCTAGTGAACCAACCAGTCCCAAAATACATATAATAAAATGATAAAGCTATAGATCTATAGAAGTTAGAATGAAGATAATTGAGTTCTAGGTCAAATATAAAGAAACTGTAGCGACTAAAGTTTGGAATTATATGCATACAAAATTGAATACATGAGTCTCTTAATAGTCTATTTATACTAGAGTAAAGCAAGCTAGCAATCTTATCCCTTGGTTTCTTAAGAAAACCTAATTGGCAAAGGAAATTAAAAACCAATAAAACTAGAAATTCAATATAGCTAAATCGTAGTAAGAATAGGAGAAGACGATTAACAAATGAGATTTTCTATTTAAACCTCATACTTCTCTTAGTTCACCCCATCTTTTAATTTAAATTTTCACAATTTCTAAGAAAACCCCACTATCTTCCCAAACTACCCTTAAATACACCCCAAACTGAAAAAATAAGAAATAAAATAGATTTTCTATTTAAACCCCACAATTTTCTTTGTTCCCAGCGGAAAAAAACACAAACAAATGGAACCCCAAACCTGAAATTTAATACTTTCTAGAGAAAGAGAACGACTTTACCTCTCTCCAAGAACTGTAATTGGAATTCCAACACTTCGGTATTGTTGAGTTGAGAACTTGAGAGACAGAGAGAGAGAGAGAGTTTGTAAACAGGAAGTTGGAAGGAGCTTGTGGTTGGGGAAGGTAGGGTATAATCATCTGGCAATAGGATGTAGAGGAGTTTGTATTTTTCTAAAACTTAATATGAAAAGTGGTGGGGTGTGTGGGGTGTGTGTATAGATGTACTAGAGTTAATTATTAAGTTGGAATACCTTTTTTATCTTTTTACACAATAATAAAATTTACAGCTTAATGATTTAAGTACTGAGGTGAACTAAGAGAAGTGTAGGGTTTAAATAGAAAATCTCTTAACAAATTAACTTGTTAATTTAATATAGCTAAGACTTTATATAAAACATTAAAACTTATCCTTTTGGTTCCAATGGAGGCTAATAATAAAAAAAGGCGTAGTCAAATAAAATAAAATTTTAATAGATGTATATAATCAACCTATGTATTTAATTTTCACATAATCAAAACCTTAATCCCTTTAAAGAAACATAATCTTCGGAAAGGTAAAAATTTAAACATAAAAATTTAAGTACAAAAGATGGCTTTCATTTTTTTTGTTTTTTATGTACAAAAGATGTCACATTTAAGGCAATAAAAATTTGGTTGATAATGGTAAAATCGTACAAATTGTTCAAATAAATATAAAATATATGCAACATAAAATTTTGCCAAAAACAGCCAACCCTATTTTTATATTGATCTATTTTTCATTGGACTTTGTATAGATTGGGAAGACAAGATACAGAGATAAGCATTTCATCTACGTGTCTTTGATCTCACAAGGAAATGGATATTGTTATTTCAATTGCGTCCAAAATTGCAGAGTCCTTGGTGACACCAATAGGCAGAGAATTTGGCTATTTGATTTACTATGATACCAACATGAAAGATCTAAAGGATGAACTTAAACAGCTTTTTGAGATGAAAGATGGGGTGCAAGAATTGGTTAATGCTGCCAAAAGGAATGGTGAAGTTATCAACTCTGATGTTCAAAGTTGGCTAACAAGTGTTAACAAGTTAATTCAGAAAGTGTCGCATTTTGAGGAAGAAGTCAGCATGAAAAGGCGATGCTTGTACCGGTGGAACATAAGTAGGAAAGCCACTAAGATTACACAAGATGTTCGTCATCTCCAAAAAGAAAGAACATTCAATAATAATGTTGCCCATCCTGCACCTCCACCGATGATATGGTCAACATTCAAAGAAGGTTTTAAGGATTTTAAATCCAGAATGACATGTGTGAATAGCGTGATTGAGGTTTTGAAGAATGAAGAAGTTAGAATGATTGGGATTTGTGGTATGGGTGGTGTGGGTAAAACCACAATGGTGAAGGAAATCATCAAAAGATTGGCAGGATTGAAAGTATTCGATAATGTTGTGATGGCAGTTGTGTCCCAAAGCCCAAGCATTCGAAAGATTCAATCAGAAATTGCAGACGAGCTGGGATTTACATATGACAGGGAGGATAGCGAAACTGGAAGAGCACGAAGGCTCTACGGAAGACTCAAGCAAATAAATAAGATCCTGATTGTATTAGATGATGTGTGGACAGAGCTCGATTTTGAGGCTATTGGACTTCCTTATGGACCTCATAAAGGGTGCAAAGTTCTATTGACCTCACGAAACTTGGAAGTGTGCAATGCAATGGGAAGTCAAGAAATTTTTACAATCCCAGTTTTAACACCAGAGGAATCATGGGAACTCTTCCGTGAAATGGTAGGTGAACCCTTGGACTATCCTGATTTGGCAAAACAAGTCACGAATGAGTGTGGAGGTTTACCTATTGCTATTATAACTGTTGCGAAAGCACTAGAAAATAAGAGGAAGCATGAATGGGTTGATGCCCTCAAGCAGCTACAAAGTTCAGCTCCTGAAAGCATCCCTTCGATGAATGACAGAGTTTATTCAAACATACGATGGAGTTATGATAGATTGGAGAGTGATGAAGCGAAGTCATGCCTTTTGCTTTGTAGTTTATTTCCTGAAGATTATGATATTCCAATTGAATATTTGGTTAGATATGGCTGGGGTCGAGGGTATTTTAGTAACATTGATTCGGTGGACGAAGCAAGAAATAGAGTGCATTCTTTGGTTGACAAACTTCAAAGAAGGTTTTTGTTGCTAGATAGTGAACGGAAAGACCATACCAAGATGCATGACATAGTTCGTGATGTTGCCATATCAATTGCCTCAAGAGATCCACATAGATTTCTAATAAGAAATGATGCGAAAAAGAAAGGGTGGCCAGAGAAATACGACCATTGCACAACAATCTCATTGATACCAATTAATATTTATGAGATCCCAGTTGGTCTGGAGTGTCCAAAACTTGAGCTTCTACACTTAGAAGACGAACATTATTCGTTAAATAGCATGGAAAATGACATGTGTGAAGGGATGAAAAAGCTGAAGGTATTAGGCATGGGTGGGATATCAGCCTTGCCAAGTTCACTAGGAGTACTGAAGAGCCTTCGAACCTTGTCCCTAAATGGTTGTCGTTATTTAACAGATATATCTGATGTTATTGGAAGATTGGAAAATTTAGAGATCCTCAGCTTTCGTAATTGCTCTAGAATCTTAGAGTTGCCGAGGGAAATTGGACTTCTTAAACATTTAAGGTTGTTAGATATCACGGATTGTTATAATCTTGAGAAAATTCCACATGGTCTCTTATCGAGCTTATCTAGTCTTGAAGAGTTGTATATGGAAAATAGTTTTCGCAAATGGGAACGATCAGCAGCAGAAAGCGAAGATAAGAGGATGGCAAGCCTTGTTGAGGTGATGTCTTTGTCTAATCATTTGAAGGTTTTAGTCATAGATATACCCAATTTCAACTTCTTTCCAAAATACTTTTACTTGACAATCCAGACAACAATAAGATTCCACATATCCAATCAGTTGGGATTTTCAACAACTCCATCAACAATTCATGGTTGTTATGCATTCGAAAATAAGTTGGATATTGTTAAAAGTGATGCAACGGAATTCATGGAGATTCAAATTGTTCGACTCTTATTTAAGAAATGTGAAGATTTACTCTTGGGTGAGATTAAGAATTTAAAGCATGTCCTCAATGAATTAGACCAAGAGGGATTGCGACACTTAAAAGTTTTAACAATTCGGAACTGCCCTGAGATAGAATACCTTGTAAATGGAGCAAGTTGGATTCAACAAACAGCCTTCCCTCTCATCCAATCAATCGAACTCATTGGGATGCCCAAGCTAAAAGCAATATGCCACGACCAACTTCCACAGAGCTCTTTTATCAACTTAAGATCTCTTGTATTAAGTGAATGCCCTGTTTTAAAATATGCCTTTTCTCTATCAGTAGCAAGCAACTTGGTTCAACTCCAAAGCTTACTTGTTAGCTTATGTCACCAAATGAAAGAAATCGTCTCAAAGGAGTGGAGGGAAGATGAGACGGCATTCGTTGGTTTCCCTAAATTAACAAATTTGACACTCTGGGGTATATCTAATGAATTCGTTGGTTTCTACGAAGCCAACAAGCTATACTCCAACCATGAGGTATGTTACATATATAACTTATTATTTCGATGCTTGAATAGTATAATTGTTATGTTAATTGTTTGTGCCTCAATTTTATTTTGAGACATCAGAGAGGTTTTGTCCTCCGATTAAAATTTGGTTTTATTAATATTTTAATATGAAGTCATATTGAAGTAATTTAAATAATAATAATAGAGCTTGGTATTAATTTCATTTTTGAGAGGATGTCTGAAGTTGATCTATAAAATGTTTCTTTAAATATTTATTAATTAATGAATCTTTTCAGGTAACAACGCCTAAGGATCAAAATGTGGTAGGAACTTCATATGATGTGCATCAATCTTCTAGAAGCTTTGAAAGAGCAGTATTTCCATCAAAGTGCATTTTATGGTTACAAAATCTAGAAGAAGTGGAACTATATAATGCCAATGTAGATGTGTTATTTGATCTGAAAGGCCACATGGTTCCAGCATTTTCTCATTTACGAAAATTGGAGATTTTATTGGAATCTCCATGTCAACACCTTTGGAAGAACATTCCGTGTGGATTCCAGGGCTTCCAAAACTTAAGATATTTAAAAATAGAAGATTGTCGTGATCTTGAAGAGCTCAACATAGCGGAATGCAGGAAAATGGAAACTATAGTCAGATCCGCAGATGAAAATGAAAAAGAGGATCAGACGGGCATGACTTTGTTTCCCAAACTAAATAGTTTTGATCTAAACGGGCTTCGGAGTCTTGAGAGTCTTTGTCCTGATGCTTCTACTTCTTTATGGTCAGCCGCCAAAGTTATGTCTGTGCAAAGATGCGACAAACTGAAGACATTGGTTTCAGTAATTCCACAAATAAAAAAGTTGGAGAAAGATTCAACAGCTCATCACGAAGACGAAGACGAAGGTATTTCATCAGGATCTTGTGGATGTACACCTTATTCATGTGGCCCAATGACCGAACCTACTTCAAGAAGAAATGTTGTTCAAATATTGCCACGTCCAGTCAATCAAGAGGTAAGCATTTCAATTTACTATTATTTTACAATTGAGAATGACAATGACATTGCCATATTGAAATTATATAAATTATATACGGTTGCTCAATTGATGTTTGATTTTCTAGGTTGCACCAACAAATCTTGATCAAGACTCAAATGATTACGATAATCTAGAACGTCTTTCTGTACTATCTTGTGAGTCATTGGAAGTTGTTTTCCAACTCAAGGGACCAAAGGCTGTGGAAAGCCACAATGTGCAAGCATTCAATAAGTTGTGTTACTTGTCGTTAAACTATTTGCCAAGTTTAATGCACGTATGGGAAACGGGCGGTTCACAACATATCACAGGCTTCGGAAACTTGACATTCTTAGGTGTATCCGACTGTGGCAGTTTGCGATATTTGTTCTTGTCAACTGTAGCCAAGCTCCTTGTGAGTTTAAAGGACTTAAAAGTTGGGAATTGTGAGAAGATTGAACAAGTTATTGCAAAAGCAGACACTGAATGTGCTGATCAGGAAATTACATTTCCTCAACTGAATTCCATGAGGCTTGAAAATCTACCAAACCTCATTTGTTTCTCTACTGAAGCTTATACTTTGAAGTTGCCATCTTTGATGGAATTGACGGTTGAAAGATGTCCAGATTTAAGAACATTTGCTTCTAAGGTTGTCAACACACATCCTAGAATCCAAGTACACACATGGTTGGGAAAGTCTGAGTGGATGGGGGACCTCAATAGCACTATAGGGAACATTCACGAAAAAAGGTATGCTCCTGAATGTTTACTGGTGTTTAGTCAATAATATAACAATAAAAGTGTTTCTTTTTCAAACCTGATTGCATCTCAATAATACACATTCTTTTCTTTTGAATACAGGGAAACACAGAGAAGTGCAGAGGTGAGTATATATATGTTGCCATCTCCAACTTCTATATTAAGGAAACACTGATGTTTGCAAATCTTACTAAAAAAAAATACGCCATATTATGCCATATTAAGGAAAGAATTAAATTGAGTTAGCAAGATCAAATTACGGTTCTAATGATATAAACAAACAAAATAATTAGGTGTGAGATTATTTAAGCTTCGATTTGACAATAAATTACAATGTATTTCATGTGTGTTTGAGGTTTTTTTTAATTCAAGTGTTCTATCATTGCGATATAGTAGACGAAAACAAAACAAACAACCTAATTTTGATGTGGTATCTCCTTAGAACATCTCCAATGGGCTCCTACCTAAATGAGATTCTAAGTTAAAATTTAGAGAATGTCAGGAACCCAACTCCAAATATGCTCATGTCTTGATTATTAAAATAAGGAGACCCCTGGTTGCTCTAAAATATGAGAGAGAAATGTACCCTTATATTTGTACATCGTTCTCTTCACCCCCTCTCTCTTGTTGAACAAAATACTTCTTCTTGCAAGCCAAATCACACAAAGGAAATCATTAAGACGGGGTTTCTAGATGGCTAGGATTTACTGTTTTTAGAAGTGCATGCATTTTGCATCTCCATATGATGATATATAGGAATTGACTGTTTTTAGAAGTGCATGCATCCTTCTCTTTAGCTTTGTATATATGCCACCATTTGTCACATTCGATTTTAGTATAAGCTGATGAGTATTATTTTTCTAGTTTAATATTGTTTCCTTCTTTTCAGCACGTTGATGAGGAGGATGAGTTCTCTTCTGAAGAATATAATGAGGAACAAGTTGATGAGGAGGTGAATACAGACTCTACAGAGTGAGTTCTTGAAGTATGGAATAACAAGTTGCAATTCGACATCTCTAACCTCATCAATTCTTGAGAAACAATCCTATTTCAATTCCAAGTATTGAAGTGTATTATAATTCATGTACTGGATTTCATTTGTATATCATTCAAATGTTTGAGCAGATCTGATGGTTAAAGCATAAGTTCATGTATTTTTTAGAGTTATCAAGGATTGATGTTAAATTCTCTCTTCAAATAAATCGTTCTTGAAGATCCCTCTGCTACAATTTTTTCGACTTTGTTTGCCTCTGGAGTAAAAACAGGTCAAAATGGAGGAAAAACTGGTACACCAGCATTCCGCTGCAAGAAATGCCGAAGAATTGTTGCATTGCAGGACAATGTTGTGGATCACATTCCAGGCGAGGGTGGGAAATCATTTGAGTGGCAAAAGCGAAAAAGTAGCATAAAACTCATGTTTATAGGACTGCATAAAACCAATTATTTTGAAAGGATTGCAACTTTTCGGGGGGAGGGAAGAAGAATGACAATAAGCATAAAATGAGGATCCATATCCTTACTAATTCATTATATTGTGGAACCATATCTTTGTAAAATGAGGATTTATAACATTATGAATTGGATGAACCTTAACTTTGTAATCCCTATCCATAAAGTGTAACTCGTGACCCAAATCTTGTAATGTACATGTTTATAGATTCTCTTTACAACGTTATGATACCCTCATATCCCAAATTTGTAAAATTATCCCTTAATCTTGTAAACCCTCATTTTTACTAAAATAAGGACCTAATTTACATCTTCAAGGTCGCAATTACCAATTTCTTGTAATGTGGATCCATATTCTTGTAAAATGAGGATTTACAACATTATGGATTCGGTGAACCCTAATGTTGTAATCCTGGTTCAAAAACTTGTAAATCGCTACCCAAATCTTGTAACTTAAAAGTTTTGGGATTCTCTTGTAATGTTATGGTACCATCATATCCAAACTATTGGGATCCTAAGGTCCATACTTACTAATTCCTTGTAATGTTGATCTATGTCCTTATAAAATGGGAATTTACATGGGAAGCTAGGGGATTGGTAACTTTCTTCTCCTTACCTCATTTAGTACTTTATTATGTTACAATACATATATCAAATTTTGAGTATTTTGGTTGAAGTTACACATATTATATGTAAATACTATATTTATGAGTGGATATTGTTATTTAACAGTTTTTTTATAAATAGGAAGAGGAAACCTATATAACAAGGATATGAACCAAAAATCAAAGGAGGATCATAAGGGAAATTCTTGTGAGAACATGAATATGAGGATGACAATATATTAATTTATTTGTTTAAGCATAGAAATAAGTTCGTAAAAGCATATTTTGAATATCGTACGAGTCATATTCAAGAAATAATAAATAGTTTTAGTTTTAAGACATTTGTCTCAAATTATTTTAGAATTAGCTTGAATTCTAAAATTTCGTACATGAGAAGCGAATGAGAGGGTAACTCAATCACTTTCTTCACCTACCTCAGTTTGTATATGAGTTGGTGTGCCTAGGATTATATGTAAAATTCATTGATAGGAAGGTATTAAGGAGCCATTGCTTACCAAATTGGTTGTATATCATTGAAGTAGGATGTGAGATGGTTGGTCCAGCTTTTGGTGGGGTTATTGCTCAAAGAGTGTTATTTCGAGAAGCGAGAGGGTTTGGATTGAGCATGGAGACACTACTGGATCATGAGAAATCCCTAAGTGAAGCTTCCAAGGTTCTGAAAGGAACTCAAAAATGCCAAAGGTTTAGAATTCCAGAAACAAAATTGTAGCCCTCAGAATAAAAATAATCTCACTTGTCAAATTAGCTTAGGGAAACTAACACAAAATTGCTACAATGCTGCTACGGTATCCATGAACTGTACCTCCCAATCTGTTTTATAAATTGTTTGCCATTCTCCTCTACCTTACCTAACATTTTAGCAGATGAGAAAAAGAAAAAGAAAAAGAAATGCTTACCAGAACAGCAGTGACAACTGTGAAGGGTGTAGCAACTGCATGGAAAATGTTCTTGATGTTTAGTACTATGTGAAAAGTTGTTTGTCCCAGAATAGGAGGCATTATAAGTTATGCCTACTCATTTTCACTGGAGGTTTCAAATTGAGTGGCAAATGTGAATTTCTGTTTTCGCTGCTATAATACAAATATTTTAACCATCCTTTCAGATGAATCTTATCATTGTGGGGATAAAATAGACAATTCTAAATTTGGGGCAGATCCTGGGTTGCCTAGTGAAGCTGCCTCTGGAGTAAAAACAGGTCCAAATGGAGGAAACACTGGTACACCAGCATTCTGCTGCAAGAAATGCCGAAGAATTGTTGCATTGCCGAAGAAATCTCTTCTTTCTCCTTACTTTTATCCAATGGGCTCTCAACCACAAGGGTTAAGTGAAATGCAGAAATGTTAATGGGTATGGGCTTTCTTCTCAATACTTGACTTACTAAGTACGAGTGAACCAACTACAATGAGCAGGGCACCTGCAAACCACTGTCAAACAAGCCTTCTCATCATCAGATACGCAAAAGAAACAAGTCAAGAAACATTTTCTCAAGGTTCTTATAATGAACAATCATTATAATTTATATATATGCAGCAACAGAAATGCATAACAGCAATCACATCTGTAGTGCTCCGAAACCGGAATGAAAATCTTTGGTGCAAACACTCCACCATTTAACAATGTCATTCGTTTATTAAATTATATGCTTCACATTCAAAATCAAAATTGGATGCCTCTTATAAGTAACTTGACAGAGTTAATAATTTTGGCCAATTTGATCAAATTGGATGGATCCTTGGAATGTCAAACACTCATAACTCAGAAAGAAGCATATCCTAAGCAAGCATATCAAAATGAATAGATAGTGTGAGTTGGTCCAATATCATCAGCATGTATTGATTTACCTGAAAAGATAAGGGTTCTTGGAACAAAAAGTATCCAGCTAGACCAGAAGACAGGAAGTTTGCAGCAAAATTTGTGACAGTAGCTTGCAGAGAAGACAGAGCTTTAAGGCTGTTCACATAACATCCCCACATTGTCGCATTCAACAATATCACCAAACCATACCTAACAATCTGTTCAAACAATAACAATTACAAATCAAGCTTTCGTTGACCCAAAAACAAAACAAAAAAAATTACAAATCAAGTAGAATTTTGCGATGTAAATCCAACGGTCTTAAATTCATCAAGTGTGCAAGGGAAAGGCACCTGAGGAGTGATGAGCTTCGCCGAAACGGCAGCCAGAGCGGCGTTCAGGCCGGCTGAGATTGCCCACGCGTAGCCCTTCTTGTTGTTACCCTCCATCAAGCCACCAAACTCTTCAATTTTGCAGGGTGAAGGAAATTGGGTCGAGAAGATTTTGACTGGGGGGAGCGGACGATGTCGTTTTTCCGAATCGTGAAACGGCGTGACTGGGGGGAGCGGACAAGTCACGTGAAACTTGAAAACATGTAATCTCAACTTGACAGTGAGGCGGCGAAAAGAGGAGCAAGGCGGAGGCGCTAAGTTTTTCACGAAGAAGATCAGATCTGACTTAACTTCTTTCACTAAACGACACCGTTGCCTCTTCTGTTTCTATTTTAAAAAAAAATTCTGATACGCCTGTCCCTTTTGAATGAAACTCATTGTTTTATTCAAGTCTAGCTTTTTCAAAAGCAAGTAGTGCCATTATAAAGCCCAACAAAAAAAGCCCTGAATAATAAGAGTATGCGTTATTAATGTCCACTTAATAACACGTTTAAGACCTTTTTTTTTTCAAAATAATACTGATTCATAGGTTATATTAAATAAATTTGTACAATGATTAATATTGGGCTCAAGTAATCTGTATTTTTATATTCACTCTATAAAATAATATATACTCAAAAAGCTTACGCTTCAATGCCTCAAGGCTTACGCCTCGCCTTATGGGACAAAAAACGCATTGCTTTTACGCCTCGTCTTTCAAAACATTGATTTCAAGGGACAAAATGATGGAATTTGAAAACATTGAGAAAATGCTTCCTTGATCCGTGTTATATGAGGTTTTGGTGCGAACTTAGAAAACATTGCATTAGAAAATGCCTCAAGGTTTTGTTTTTTTCATTTTCTAATGCGAACTTAGTTTAGTTGCTGAAAATATCGTTCTGCATAACATGATAAGTTGTTATAGGATAAGTTGAGTTTTGACCATATAATATGAACAAAATCCCTTATTGGGAAAGTAATTACTCTTTCATCTGTTATATATCAGCAAGCAAATTTCCTTTTTGTTTTTTTAAAGTTTTTATATATTTTTTTTTATTTAAAGAAAATTATTAGTTACTGTTATAGCTAGCTAGCTAGCTAGTTCTTACCTGACAGAATCCGACCGGGGGCCATGATGGACATTGAAGAAAATTTCTGTTTGAAATATTTGTTCCCTCTGGTTGTACAGTAGAGTTGAGAAACTTTTAGCCACATTCATTCCTTTAATAGTCATGTTCATTTGTGAATTGTTAGTACCTGCATATATATAGCAGCAAGCAAAGAATGTTAATCCCCTTCCCGCCTATGTAGAGTTGAATTTTTCTGATTGTGAAAAACTCAAGGACTAGGGTGATTGTTTTCTTTTTGCCATATACAAGATGGGATTTTCTTTTTCAAAAATCCATGTCCATGTCCGAGACTTCATAATGATGGAACTCAACTATGGAACTCAAAATGATTAAGTTTGGTCATGTGGTTCTATAGGTTTAGCAAAATCAAATTGAATAATTCAAGGACCAGTGTGATTGTTTTCTTCTTGCCATACAAGATTAGAGTTCATATATATATAATTTCTTCTTCCCCAAGGTTCTGATAGTTTTTTTTTTCTTTCTTTTTCTAAGAAAATTCCATGTCCAAGTTTTACGAGGGGTGGAAAGAGATAGAAATAGAATTTCACAGCTGTAATACTACTTCATAGTTCTAAAAAAAATTACTTTTATAGTTCTCTAAATTTTTTTTTTAAAAAGAAGTTCTCTAAAAAAAGAGGGTTATTTTACTCAAATGCTCCTCAAACTTATACCCGATTTACATTTTGGTCTCTCAACTAAATTATTCGTTCACATGGTCCACAACTCAATTATTCGATCCATTGGTCTTATTGTTACATTTTGTCAATGTTGCCGTCAAATGTAACAGTAGGACCAATAATGGACCAAATAATATAGAGTTTATGAACCATTTAAATGAATAATTTAGTTGAGGGACCAAAATGTAACTCATGTATAAATTTACTGACCATTTGAGTAAATAACCCTAAAAAAATGATTTCATACTGATCTCACCAAATTACACCCAAAATATAAAAACCAATTTTCATTTTAAAAGTTATCAAACCAAACATGCATGGATATATCTAAATGGATTATGATGGAAATTATCCAACCAAAAAAGAAAAAGAAAACCAGTTTTTATTATAAAAGTTATCAAACCAAACTTGCAATATATCCAAATGTGCAAAAGGTATATCTAAACAGGTAGGATATGGTATGTATATCATCACCGGATAATTCAACAAAATCGACTTGATTACGTATTTGTGTTTTCATTCTTTAATATTGAATACTCTTTTTTTTTTTTTCCAAATTTTTAGTTATTGAATATTAGAAATTATTTTTTGGGCCTAAAATCTAGGAAGCAAAGAAGTCGGTTTCCTAAGTCAATATAACTAGGTAGAACCTTCAAACCTTTTCATAAAAATGGACAGAAAAAAATGTTGGAGCAGTTACATTTGAGACTTCTCACCCTAGTAACATAAGTCGATGTTCGTTGCAACACTTTCTTTTTTTTTTGAGATCAAAGTTAGGAGAAGGAGTTGCACCGAATTTCGAGTTAAGTTACTTTCGGTGAATTTCAACTTCATTTCAACTCTCCGCGACAAGAAGCATAGCTAAGGTAAATGTGCACTACTGAGTGTTTCTTATTGCATGATTCTCAATTTGATGTTGCTATTGGTTTCTATGAATCTTGAAACTCTGGGTTTTTCATTCTTATGTAACTGTTTTGTTTTGTTTTGTTTTTTTTTCTGGTTCAAGTTGTTCTTTCACGGTTTTTAATGCTTTGGAATCTGAAAACTCCATCTGGGAATTTTGAGATGCTACCCTGCTGCTCATTTAGGTATATGATGCTTTTGACATGATATTTATGAGTTTTCTCAAATTGGTTTTGATTTCTTTGAGTCTGTCAAAATGATTAAGTTTGGTCTCGTGGTTCCATAGGTTTAGCAAAATCAAACTGAATAACTCAAGAACTACTATGATTGTTTTCTTTTTGTCATACACGATTAGGGTTCATACATCATTTCTTCTTCCGCAAGGATTAATTCTTATGGTTTTTATCTCACCAACACACCCAAAATATTTATAAATAAAAAAAAACCAGTTTTCATCTAAATGAAAATGGGACTTGCAAACAAAAATGGTGTACTAGCCATTTTTGAAAATGCAAATTATGTGTCAACCTTCCACTTTTGTTCTTTATTTATTTATTTATTTATTATTTTTAAAGTCGGATAAATACAACATTTAAATTAGATCAACAACAATCTTCTCATTTAAATTATCCAAACCAAAATATACAAAAACAGTTTTCATTTTAAAAGTTATCCAACCAAAAATATTTTATATTATTTTCATTATTTTAATATTTTCTATTTTTTAATATTCTCTTTTCCAATTTCTCTTTTCATTGAATATTTGAGTAGACATTGTTTAAGTTTCCCATTTTTTATCAGACATTGCTTTTTAGGTGACGAGCTTTCATTTTAAGCTGTTTTCTTGCATCCAACTTCTTGTTTAACTCACAACGTACATTCAACCGAAACAAAGGCAACTGCCAATGGAAGCCCAAAACAAAGATGAGATAATCATATTTCCATAAACATAATCAAGCAAATATAGCGATGGCTTAACTGCCACTCGCCAACTGTAATTAAATTATCGTTTCTATACCTCCTCCTACCGGTCGCTATCGCTCTTCCTCCGTTGGCTGTCCACCAATTGATGAGGAAATTTTTTCCACATTTGCTAAACTTCATTCCAAATTGCAGTTCAACATATTTAACATTGAAATGATGATATTCAACAACTTATTCCTTAATACAACTCATTCTCCATCTCTATTTCCACTCTAGTATATCATCTACAATGGTTTCCAGACTTCCCTTCACTTAATTCTTTTCAGCCTCACGGGCAAAAGGAGAAGGACCGCATTCAGAATGCCTGAATTGGCGGAAATAAATACATGGTATAAAGGAATGTTATGAAACTATTACATGCAAGAAGCATCACTAATTTGGATGCAAATTTCATATACATTGTCAGTATCGTACAACTACCATTTTTATTATCCAGGTTCATCATATCTTCCGACATTTGATTCTTTAACCAGACTTTTCGCATTCAGAAGCAGGAAACTATGAACCAACCTAGTAAATTCTCTCAGCTGTGGAGACGGGACGAAGGAAGACAACAATGACTGTGATGTTGTCTTTGCTTTCACGCTCTGCTGCTTCTGTCGCCAATCTCTTGGAGCACATTCCAGGCTCTTTCACAGTGTCCTTGATTATGCTTACAACCTCTGCATTGCTCACAACATCCCACAATCCATCACTTGCCATTACCTGACAAACAAAAATGTTTTTTCTCAAAAACGTAAGAGTAACAAAAAAGAGTAATTGTAATTTAGATTGAATATCTTAAGCAACCAGATTATTTGTTTTTAGACAGAAAACTCAATGTAGGTTACGTTATGTTGCCTACCAGCATGAAATGTCATTGTCAAAAATAAATAATTTTCCAGTATTTTGAACTTCATGGAACATTTTGACTCGTAACAGAGCTCTCTGAGATTTTTTAAACAGCATCCAGCAACATCGAAGACCAGCACTATCAGAATATGCTAAGTTTATGACATAGAACTTCCCAGTCAATATTTTTGTAATCTATGGACAACTGCTTACATGTGTATGGCCTCCAAGATTCCATCATGGTATCACATTCAAACTTATAAATGAACAACAGTCTTATTCTTACCCTGTATTTAAGGTGAAAAAATGATTATCACTGACAAGATACCAGAAAAGCCCTTATGACAAACATAGAATAATAGTTATGGACAGGAAGACGTGCAATATTTTGTGGTGTCTGAGCAGTAAACAGGATGAAAGATGATTACGGTGGTAATTGTAGAAGGTTATATTCAAGATGCATGTATGCCGATAATTAAATCATAGAGAAAGAAAGCTTCAAATGTTGATCACAAAGTAAAATCTACTTGAAGCTCTACATGCAAGAAGCATATTCAGAAGTTGTTCTTTCCTCATTCATGTTATATTCTTTCCAAAACCTAACTATTAGTTTTAAAAAATCAATTCATATATCTGTCACCAAACTTAATATCTATTTATCAAAATCTTATTTCTTACCAAATACTCATCCTCTACCGAAAGAATAGTTTCAGTTATCTCAGGTTCTGCGGTTACAGCAGGCTTTAGATCATCATCCCCTATTGAACGAGTGACCTGTTGAAAAAAATAATTTAAAACATGCACATATACAGCATTTTAATAAGGTATCGCCCGTTCACTGCCATGATGCCATCTTCAGGTGGCAAAGGGAATAATCCAAATACATGTTACTGTTAGGCTAAAAATTTAAATGTAATACAGGTCATAAGTTTCTGAAGCATATCTTTCCAAGAGAGGGAAAAAAAAAAAAAAAACTGATTTGATGCAGTACACCAGAATTTTCTTCACAAGTTCCTTCAAAAAGGAAAACCCATAAATGTGGGCTGATTAAAACTTATAAGAAGCCATCTTCCTAAATAACAGCAGAATTAACAGTACTGGCACAACCAACCTAAAGATCTACCCTTATACAAATCGTCATGTAAAAAAGAGATGTCAGTGTCGTCATACAGCTCAAGATCAAGAAAACTCATATCAAGCATTACTTTTATATTCTTATAAAACCCACATCAATAGTCAACGGACCCCATGCTGTAGGCAACTTACATCATTGGTCAAAAAAGCTAGCAGTTTAGCACATATATTTGTAGAAACAAATCATTCATAATCTCATACCAAATTATAAATCGGAGTTCAATGAACGATTTTTCATAAACAAAGAAGACCTGTCAGTCTAATTTTTTATTAACTCTGCTACAAAACCTTTCCTCTTCTGAAAAATGAACTTTCTTTGTAAAAGTCAGCAAGAACTCCTCTGTCATAGATCAACCAAAAACGTTGGTTTCAAATTTTATTTTCCATTTTCTTAGAAGAAATATGTGCAAAACCAACATGATAACAAGTTGTACTGCAAAACTGTACAAGTCTCAACAAAGTTGCAATTATTTTATTTCAAAATTAGAATTGTACAGAACGGATTAATTTCTTTGGTAGCTGTTCATGTATAAAATAATATATGAGCTCTATCTAAGTGGCCCGTATGTGCCTTCAAAGAAAATCTTACTTTGACATTACAATGGAAGATTATTATATTTGCTTTTCCTCTCCGCCAGATTTTGTAAATTGTCTATTTTTTTCTGAACTGATTCTAAAAGTTCTACCAATTAACTCAGAAAAAAGGTTTGTGTGCGAGCATTAACATGTATAAATCTGTATGTGTGTGTGTGTGTGTGTATATATATAAATATGTATGTAGACATACACACGTGTGTGTGTGTGTGTGTATTTATTGTGATACTTGATACCCAGGTGGTTCAATACAGAGGGTAAAATGACAGAGCCCATTAAATCATAAAATCACAATCACAATTAGTTCACACATTCCCTCTGTTAATGGTAGGGCTGATACTAAGATGATCTGAACTCATAAAATCACTCAGAGAAAATCACAGAAGCAACTAAGTCATACCTAATTGGACAGCAACCACGAGCACCTGATTGATATTCGGACTCCATTCTTCCATGTGTAATTTCTCAGATAAGTTCGGAGGCTCAAAGAATTCGAAGAAATACATGTAATTGGGTGGCTTTGCATGTGCGGCAACCAGTTTTGCTATTCCCGGATGATCAAACTTACTTCAGTGTTCATATATACTCGAATTCATATACTCGAATCATACACATAAATAGATTCATATGCATACATACATATACAGAACTATATCCTCACAGCATTGAAACATGTAATGTGAATTATACATGAATTATAAACATACCATAGCAATTGCAGCTCCTTGTGGAGTAGAGAAGATGGGTTTCTTCACAGCAACTTTCTTTCCATCCAAAATTGCTTCATATACAACGCTCTCAGCCCCTACACACACAATCAGCACCAAAAAGCATACCGGAAAATAACCAATTAATAAATTAATTAGAAATATCGAAAAGAAAAGGCAAGTGGCGATAGGCATTAGGCATTAGCCAAACAGAGCCTTAGCCTGAACTGGAAAGAGGAAAAGGAGTGTGAGTTACCTCTGGCAATTGGTTTGAGGAGAGTGTAAGAGGAAGGTGGAAGATGGAGAGGAATGGAATTGCTGCTGCAGCAACCTCTAATGCACGCGTTGGGTTCCATAATTTCAAGCCCCATCTCTCCAAAACACACACACACACACACACTCTCTCTCTCTCTCTCTCTCTGGCGTTGTAAGTCGGTGTGGCGAAGAAGAAAGAAAGCAGCAGCAATTAAATTACGAAAAGGGCGTGTACGGGTTTGTTTTTTTTCAAGGAGGTCTGCTGTTAGGAATTTTCGTTCTGCTACCGTATGAAACTCAATAGTACAAATTCAACCTGCGATATTTTGTTTTGTTTTTTCTGTAATTTTTACTTTATTATCGTCAAGTTTACTGGATGCCTAAGTTTTTTTTATCTGAGTCCTATGCATAAAGATTATTTTCGTATCACTTTAATACATTCATTAGTCTCACCGTCATGTTTTCCGTTAAATAATAATGTGATGTTATTACGTGAACTCACCCATATTTTGGTACGTGGACTAAATAAAGAAAATATATTTAATTAATTAAATAATTTTTTAAATATTTACAAAATCTAATTTTTTGTTAAAATTTTATTAAAAAAATCCATTTTAGATTGAATTTGAAATTTTATAAAAATCGAAAGATATAACAGAATTTGAACGGAATTGAACAATATATACAAATTAGGGCTGGACACGGTCCGGTTTGGACCGGTTTTTAGTTAAATTTAGAACCTGAACCGTACTGTTCATCCAGTTCGGTCCGGTCCGGATCTCATAAAAAATTAATTACTCAACCGATCCAATCCGGACCTGTTAAAATCCGGTTCGGTTCCGATTTTTCCGGTTTGGACCGGCAACAGTTTTTAAATTTTTATTTTTACAATATTAAGTGACGAGTAATTTGGCCATTGGGTGCTTCGTCTCCATCAAGACCACCTTAAGTGACGAGTTTCAGGGGCAAGTCATCACCTTAGTATCCATCAAGACCACCTCATTAGTCATTTGTCGGCGCATGGTTGAAGGAAAAAAAACCCAAACTTCATATTTCAGTAATAAAAACAAAAACAAAATTTTTGCTAAGATTGGATATGGATATGCTCTGAGATACTGACCTGAGTAAGCATATGGCAGGAGGAACGTCACCGTCGTTGCTGCTGAGCTGAGAGCGAATCGACGAATCTGTACAAGAAAAACCAGATCTGAACCTTAAAAGATACCCAAAAAAAACTATCCAGCAAAATAGATCCAATCGATGCCCAGTAAGAAACAAAAAGAGAAATCAGACAGAGATGAGAGGAGAGGAAGAGGAGAAGAAGATAAGAAGAAGTTGACGCTAGGTTTTCTTCAGGAGAGAAAGAGAGAAGAAAAAAGAAAAAAAGAAAAAGAGAGAGAGAGAGAGAGAGAGAAAAAGGGAAAGGCAACGAGAGAGAAAATGGAAGGAAAAAAAAAGAGCATGCGGCTAGGGTTTGGATTTGGAAGAATGAGATAGTGAGAGGAAATAGACATGCGGCTAGGGTTTGAATTTTGGCTGAGGTGATATTAATTAAAAAAGGTAGGCTATTAAGAAAATTAAAATATAAAGTGTTGGGCTTGAGATATTGATGATAGGTTTAGGCCCAATTCTTTGGGCTTCAAGGTGTGAGTGAATGTTGAGGTAAAATAAGGCCCAATGTATATATAAAAATTAAAAATTAAAAATTAATTATATTAAATCCGGTCCGGTTCGGCCCGGTCCGGTTTTTGGAGGTATGAAACCGGAACTGGAACCGGTCCAAACCGGTCCGGTTCGGTTTTTTGACCGATTGTTGACTTTTTAGTCAACTCGATTTTTTTTCCGGTTTTCTCGGTGCGGTTCGGCTCAAATTTCCGGTTTACCGGTTTGAATGCCCACCCCTATTGACCGGTTGTTGACTTTTTAGTCAACTCGGTTTTTTTCCCGGTTTTCTCGGTGCGGTTCGGCTCGGATTTCCGGTTTACCGGTTTGAATGCCCACCCCTAATACAAATAGAAGGAGCAAATGGGCCTCAGGAGTTTGTGGTTTTGGGATTGGAAGAGCTGTAATAATTTTCAGCACACCCAAACTTTTGTATTAAAAAAAAATAAAGTATTCCTCAAAGTTATAATAGGGTTAGTTTAGCCGTACCTATATAATTAAGAGGTATTTATTCTCAAGTCCCTCATTTTGGTAGGAATATAATTCATATATACGGAATTTTTATGTACCATATGTCGTCACCAATAAGCAAATGAAAATAATCAACATCAAAACAGAGAAATTCAGATTAAAACAAGTAAGTCATTATAAGCATGGATCGAGTGTGTTTTGACATGGGACTCTAAAAATTTTCTTCAACTGTGAAAGTGCATCACCCTTTCATCTTCGGTAGCGAAACCGTATAAATAACATCTAAAGAACTTATGAGCAAAAGCACTTTCATATATGTTGGTAGACTGAGTCACCAAGTGATTTTGCTAAAATCACTTCTATGGAAGCAATCACAAAACCAGCTCTTGACACAGCTCCGTTCTCCTCCTTCCTTCAAGTGGTCGATGTGGAACAATGGGTCAATACCCTGTCTTGAAGAAATCTTTGCTGTCTTTGGGCTTCAATGCAAGTACATCTAAATCCTCGCCGGCCAAGATTAAATCCGAGGACAATCGTTTAATTAGTTTAAGGGAGATCCTATATTATAAAAACATATCTGAACTTTGAACCCATTAAATCATGTTGTAAGTTCCAAAACCATGCTCATCCAAGATATTATCAATGTGATATGGAAAAGATTACGTCCTTCATCGTCCTTCATCGTTTAATTCCATAATTTCATCGCTTTCTTAGTCCCCCCCTCTTGTCCATATTTGTAAGCAATGCATCCAATTCTTTTTCCCTTTGTCCATTGGGTCAAGCTCTCCTTCACTTTTCGTTGCCTTGGCATAGAGGCTTGTTTTTTTTTTTTTTTTTTTGGCTTTTGGGGATGAGATGCTTCTATTTATATAACAAGCGAACTTCGTATGTAATTAAGCTTTGGATCAGATGCTTCTAGGAAATTCCGTTTGCTTGGAATTACCTTCTCTTGAAGCAATGCCTGGTTCGTTATCTTTCCCTTGTCTTTTTATAGCGTGCGAAAACTCACAGTGGCTTTTCCATTTCAGTTCTCTGCTTATGCATTGCTTTCATATTTCTCATAATTCAATTGTTTGTATCGTCTTCTCCTTGATTGCCTCATCCTTGTGATTTTTCATTCAAAGTTACGTCTCATAACAGTTGGTGGAGAAACTTACACTTATACAAAGAATATTAGAGGTACGTACATCTTGGAAACTTTCTGTCTTTGCACTATATGGCTGTTGGTTTTACTCTGATCCATTGAAAAAAACACACACACACAACTGAGATAATTTGATATATGTATATAGATGCAAATGGTATATCGATCTCGTGAAATATATATTTTTCATTGTCTTCGTACCTAAGAATTTCATGTGAAAAACTGAAATAAGGTGTAGTATTAGGAATGACAAAATGTTCAGTTTTCCAACAATACCCTTGAATTTTTTAGTAAAAATTATTAAAACTTTAAACAAATTTTTTCTCTTACAATACCTGGAAGAAAAAAATAAAGATTCAATCCAAGGAAACCTTAGCAGCAAAACTCCAATGACCAAAAAACAAACATTGATAGAACATTGAATTGCCTTACTCTTGTATATGTGCAATTCATATAAAGCAAGCAACAAGTCAAAAGAGCATCCCCAACCTCTTGTGTATGTGCAATTCATATACAGCCAGCAACAAGTCAAAAGAGCCCACAAAGAAAGCACACCCATGAAAACAAAAGCACAAAAGAAAAAGATTACAATCATATATAAAAACGTTGCAACTTCCTGTTTAAGCCAATTGTAGCATCATCCGTTATCTAAAATTCCATATCAATATTCATGATCTAAATTCAAAAGATCATCATGATTTAAGAAAAGAAATAAAAAAACGTACCTAGGTTAAAACAAAATAAACAAGTAAAAGAAGAAATATAAATATTTTTTTTAAGGGTAAAGAGTGGTATTTGCAAATTATAGCAGGGGTAGATTAGTCCCAAAATTTTGCATTAAATGCTTTCCCAAGTGGGGTGAAAAAAATATCCCAAGTTCAGCCAAGGGTATGAACTTCCCCCTTACATAGAAATCTAGAGCCGAGTGTCTCATAAATAGAAGATAAATTAAAAGGGCTTAAATTATGGATCAGAATAAATTTCTCTTATAAAATAACTCCAAAATCTTACAAAAGTACCAGAAATAAATAAAGATTTATCATTCTCATATAATTCAACCTTAACTGGTTTAGTCATTGACTCTATCACTAATTCATCTAGGAAAAAAAATTAAAAGGGTGAGGGATGATCAAACCACCGCTCAGAGAATAGATTACGTAATGTGTCAGTCAAGCAATGTTGTTTTACACACACTCAAGAAAATATCATGAAAAGATACACCAATCAACATCATATCAAATCATCACTTCTGATACAGCGAAGCGGCAACAAGTTGTTGTCCAGCATCCCAAACAGTCCCAAAATACATAGCATAGAAAGATAAAGCTAATAGAAGTTGGAACGAAGATAATTGAGTTCTAGAGGTCAAAAATCCCAAAAGCGACTCTATAGGCTAAAGTTTGGAATTATATTCATAAAAAAAATTAAATACAAGAGTCTCTAAATAGCCTATTTACACGAGTAAAGCAGCCTAGCATTCCTATCCATGGTTTATTAAGAAAATCTAATTGACAAAGAAAATTAAACCAAATCCTACTAAGAACAGGAAAATGATTAACAAAATAACTTATTAATTTAATATAGCTAAAACTTAGCCTTGTTGGATGGTGAGCCCACTTAGATTAGGAAAGTCTAAAAGACGCTCCTTCATCAACTCGACTAGGTTGGGAAGAATTTTTCCTCGAATTCCAATCTTTTGGTGAAAAATTCCCAAAGATAACCTCCGCTTAGATAAGTTGTCCATAGAACTCTGGCCGTGACATTGAACCTTCCCATTCCAAATAGATAGATATTTAGAATATTTGATCCTTTCTGGAACAGTACCAGTTATCTTCTGCAACCAATCTCTCAGCCCAAAAACGTTTCAATCCAAAAAGCCAAAGGGTTGAGAAGGTCAACGAAGTTCTTAGCAGTCTGTAAATTAAAAGAATCAACCCCAAGAAAATCAACATACTCAGAAGTATCTCCTTCTAAGGAATTCATCTCACCGCCAACAATTCCTCACGAATTTCTTGAATCAGCTTTCCTTCAAACGCGTGTTGATTGTGTTGCTTCAAAAGTTCAAATCCAACTTCCCCTTTGGTCCCCTACCTTAAAGATAACACTAAATTCAACTTATTTAGTCTCACCAAATACCCTGTCAAAAGCTTTCCCAACTCTCAAACAAACTTCACAATCTTCTTCCAAACAATAGTCAAACACAGGAGGGTTATCTAAATTTAGGAGATTGTCATCTTCCAATTTATTCGAAGTTCCCTCAACATCCTTCTTAGCAACAATTGAATACATAGGTCCCACCTCCTTGCTCTCAAATTCCAACTAATGGGCTCTCAAATGACCATTAACCTTGGCATCTTTGGGAGCATTGCAGAATCCTTCTTCACACGGCTGCAAAGTCCACTTTCTCCCATCCTTATATAATGAATAAGTGTTAGCTTTAGTAGAATGCTTCATATCTTTGTCCAACAACCATGGTATTCCTAATAGGATATGACATGCATCCATGTGACAACATCACACCAATCTTCATCCCTAATAGTATTACCCATAGTGAACTTACCAAACATATTGAAGTGACTGGTATCTCGTTTCCTTTTCGAAATCATGCAACCTTGTAAGGATTAGGATGCTTCTCAATTGGTAACTTTAGTTTTTTTATTGCCTCCTTCAAGATAACATTTTCACTACTTCCTTCATCAAGAATCACATTGCACACATTTCTACGACAAAGGCGGTTCAGAATATACATTAGGTGGATGCTAAAGACCCTCAATTTTTGGAGTTGTCATCACCTGCCTTACCACCAAAGATTCTCCTCCAACCGTTAAAAGATCACTAACTTCCTCTTCATTGCCTTAAACATCATAAGTGGGTTTTAAAAATTGATCTTATCACCTTTAACCTCTGCCAAGTTTACTCTTCTTTGTGGGCAAGTGTAAGATAAAAGCCCTGCCTCTCCACAATTGAAATATCAAACTTGTGAAGTACTCCCAGCCTTGGAATTTTTGACACCAGCATTGTTTTGAGGATAAAATTGTGCTATTTTCTCCCATTTTTCACTCTTATCAGTACCCACCAACTTCCTACACCTTATTTTGGTACTTGGATTGGTTTCGTGATCACTTTG